CCCCAAAACCCCAAAACCCCAAAACCCCATGAACTATAAATTGTATATAAATTGAAAAAATTTAAATTGATCAATAATTTACTATATAAATGAATTGATCAAAGTATTTTTATAATTAATATTAATAAGCGTTAATGAGTGATCTTTAATAGTTTTTCAAAGATTTTTGTCTATATAGTGAAAAGAACAGCAATCGAATCATCGATAAGCTAGATGAAGCAGGAATTGACTCACTTTAGTTACTCTTGAAGCAAAATGAAAAAAATCTCCTTAAATGTGGTCTAACTGAATTTCAAGCCTCAGATATATTTGAAAAGATTTAGTCTTATAATCTTTAACAAGTGAATGATAAATCCATTTTAACAGAGCAAAAGTTTGCAGGAAGCAGCTCTAAGGAAGAAGAAAAAATAGAATCTGACTATTGAATTCCAGAATCTCATCAACCATTGAATACCACTATGAATCAAAATATGGTAAAGGCAGCCACTGATGATCATCCTAAAAGCATCTAGATAAATACTTATATCAACTAAGACCCTTAAGATATAAATTAAAGTCAAGAAATCATTAAAAATCTAGAAAATTAATAAAAATCTGTAACTTAATTAGAAGAAATTTTAAATCTCGAAGAGATGGAAATTGATTTTATTTCTGATGGGGAAATTAAATCTTATTTACTTTTCGAAACCTATGAAGACTAATCTTCTTAGTAAAATCTGACTAAAATTAAATTAAACAAGGTAGGCCTGACTCAAATGATAAATAATATTCATAATTCTCAGTGTCAAGTTATCGGATATTATGGTCACTACTAATCCTGTATTAAAGCTGCATAAATTTACCTACAAGGAAGATTATCTTCTTAAGTTGATGAGGTTGATGAAGGTATTTTAGCTTTTTAAAAAGAGAATAAAATTGCTTTAGTTTATAAGACCATCTATGATTATCATCATGAATAATCTGAATCACAATTTTCTATAACATATTTGCGATACATAATAGATATGTGCTAAAAAATTATCTGCTTACCTTCTCCAACACTTTCAATTAATCCTGATCTAAGAAATCCCTTTTTACTAAAAACCAATCCTAGCTTAACAATGAGAGAGATTGAATAAAAGCCACATGAAGCTGCAAGCATCAATTTAATTAATTGCTTAAATACTTGTACCTAACTTTCTGATATTCAAATTCATTTAACTTCTTGTGATAATTAAAACTACATATCATCTGTAAAACTTAATTAGGAGTTTGATTGGTCGAATCAAAAAATGTTCTTTGATGCTAAATTGATAAGGAATGATTTATTCGAGAGCAATTTTCAATAATATACTTTTGATTAGCTTAAAAGAGAAGTTATCTTATATTGGCAATACAGATTTGATGTGTTTCATTCCTCAGATAGCCCTAATATGTTGAAGGAAAATTTTAATGAACTATTAAAAACTTACTTAATTTCTCAATATAAGCAAGAATTTGATGAATAACTTGATTATTATTTCAATTATTACTAGGCCAAATATCATTAGATAACTGATGATATAGAAGTTTAAGCGTAAATAAAAAGCGATAAGATCTTTAACGAATTCTTTGAGTTAATAAATGCTAATTAATGTTTTACTTTCTAGAAAAATTGGTAAAATTTAATAGAAAGTGATCAAATTACTGAATCAGGCTCCATTGGGGGATTTTTTAAAAAGATAGTTGGAAGTCAAAAAACTAGAGAGTAAATTCTAGAAGAATGTCTATGCAATAAAGATTGTGGGTATCCGATCTCAATCTAAAATTTTATTGGAGAGTTTATTTAGAAAAAGGGAGAAGCTAATTTTCTGAATAAATATTTAAAGCCATAATTGGAACATTATTTACGAAATTAGATCTCAATTTCAGTTCATAAAGGAAAATACAAATATGTACAGAATGCTGTTAAAAATTTAAACAAAGAATTCAGAGATATTTATGATCTTGAATTTGAAAATTAAAAATAAAAATTTATTGATTTAAGAAGGAAAATACTAGAAGAATTATTTATAAAGATTGAAAAATTCATCTGCAGTAATAAAAAAATTGCAAAAACAATCTTATAAATTTAATTTAAAGCAATTTCTTTAATAAAAAATGGAAAAAACGAAATAACAAACTGGGAATTTAAGACTTAAGATACATTACATCAATTTAAGTTATAGAGTGATGCATCATGTGATATAAAATTAAGCAGAATTTATTTTACCAATAACGACAGAGGTCTTATTTAATTCTAAAATTTACCTCTGGGGAAATCTTCATTGTATGAATTTGATATAAGTAATAGCTAAAGTCCGAGATTTACAATGGTTTATGTTCTCGCTAATGATTAATCTAATTTAACTTATGAGTGTAACCAAGGTCTATGGTTTACTTATGATAACAAATAAAGGAGAGCTTACTAAGGCAAAATAAATAAAAAAGGAACATTTGTCAATGAAAACTTCATGCAAGTTTACTCTTAATAGGTTGAAGGATAATAGATTGAAACTATTATTGATGCAGCTTTTGTTCCATATGGTGAAAAATTATTAATTATAAGTCAAAATCATACCTTATTTGAATTTAATTATAATAACCAAAAATTAATGAGAGCTTAGAGGAAATTTACTATTGATAACGAAATAATCAAAGAATATATACCATCATAATAAAGTTTGAAAAATTATGATTAAGTTTAAGTTTCAAGCGATGGAATTCATATATTTTTAAAATGCAAGAACTCCATCGACATTTATGATTTAAATTGGAATTAGATTCATAATTTTGATTTGGATGAAGACTTTTGCTTTTATAAAATGTTTCCTTTTGAATCTGATCATTATATTACGATATTCTACAAAAGTAGAACAGAATGCTTTTAAATAACTGGAAATAGAATTCAAACAATCATTAGATCAGAGATTAGTCGTGATACTAAGAATTAGGTGAAAGGTAACCCAATAATTGATAAATTATACTAAGGATTTTTGAAATTTGGGCCTCACTCTGATTTTATTGGATGCCCATCTTCAACCAATCTTGCCGTTTGTATTTAATCAAATATTGTTAAAAAAGACATGCTGAAAAAATACATTGACAACTTAAGAATTTACACTGTTTAATATGAGATTTTTAATTCTGGTCAAATTAAATCTCTAGATTTTATCAAAAGTAATGAATCTCTTATGGATATTTAGAGATTTAAAAATATAATTATAGGCAGAGTGCCTATTCATCTAGCGACTATAGAGAATTTCAACTTAATGCCACTATCAAATGGTGTAAATATCACTGAGGAAATTCTTAATTTTATCGAAAATAGTCCCAAAAATGATTAGTTAAAATCAATTATTTAGCTGATAAACATTGGAATTTATGAATAATTTCTAAACAATGTTAAATCAGATATTAAAGTGATATCTATTGTTGGAAAACAAAGTTCTGGTAAAAGTTATGGAATGAATAGATTTTTTGGAACTAGATTTGGTGTAGCGGCTAACAGATGTACTGATGGAATTTGGATGTCAATCGTTGAGGTATTAAATGACGAGGGATAACCAAAGTTATTTGTTGTTCTTGATTGCGAGGGTCTGTTTTCTTAGAGTAGAAATGAATAGGAAGAAATGAAATTATGCTTGACATTATCTGCTATTTCCGATGTGCTAATTATGAATTAAGACTTATCTTTCAACAGACATCTAAATGAATTATTTAATAACTTTTCTAAAAGCATAAATAGAATAAGTGGTAAGCTACTGTTTAAAGGTAAATTGCTTATCCTCGTACGTGATGTTTCTTCTCTTGATATAAATTAAGCATATTAAGAGATAGAATAGTGCACAACAAAACTTTTGAAAGACAAATCACAAAATTTCTTAGGATAAATGTTTTAAGGAGAGATTAAAATTTAATGTCTTAATCATTATTAGCAATATGTTTTTGATTAAGAAATTGAAGAAGTTAGATAGGAATTTTTCTTATAATTAGATAAAAAAAGATGGATAAATGGAAGAGATTTTGTGGAGAGTTTAAAAATAGTATTACTTTAAGTATTATTAGATGATGATACTAGCATGGATATGCATAAAACAAGAATAAATGTTGAAAATGTTTATTAAACTTCAATACAATTATTTCAAAATGGGGATGATAAAGTTTTTGATAAAGAAGCACTTGATATTGAATTGATTAAAATAGGGGAAATAAACTTTAATGTTGAAGTAAATCAAAAAATTTTAGTTTTAAATCAAACAATAGATATAAAAGAAAGAAATCAAGAATATCCTAAATATTCGAATCAACTTCAAGAAGAATTTGAGAAAAATACTACTTCTTATAGTATTATTAAGCATAATGATTGGTATGCAGGATTTTAATAGTTTATTTAAGCGTTATTTAAACAAAGAAAATAGATTGCTATCGATTACTTTTGTTCTGCGATAGATAGCAAAAGCTAAGATTCAGAGTTTAAATTTTAAAGAGATAAATTGATATAATAATGTGATTAAATCATTTAAACTACTAAATTTTGTTAAAATTAGTGCATTAATTGCAGAAGAAGTTGTGTATTCTAACTAAATCACAAATCTGATTGCGATTGCCAGACTGATCACAAATGCTTGATAATTTGCAATCTTACTAGTTTATGTGAGGAAAGTAAAAACCAATGTATACAAATTTATGGGCACTAAGGCAGTCACAGATGCAGTGAAGGTGATCATAAATGTCCTGCTAAATGTCAAATTTAAAATGGATGCAATTCACTATGCTCAATGGAGATTGATCATAATAGTAATCTTCCTCATAGTTGTGGAAATACTCATCCATGCTAATAAAATTGCTTAATTCCTAATTGCAATAAAAAATGCTGATATAATCAAGAAAGTGAACATCAAAATCATGACTGTGGAATGAAGATCTGTGGATAATAATGCTTACTCTGCAAATAATAATGCATATTCCCTAATCATCATCATTAGTTACTTATTGAAAATAATTAAACAAGCTAATTAGTACTGGATTATGAGGGGAAATAAAAGATAATAGACTATCATATTTGTTAGAACATTCACATTTGTGAAAGTGAGTGCGTCGAAGAAGGAGTTTGTATAGTGTCCTTCTAGCAATAGGAGAAGATTTGGAAGTCTGGATCTAGAGAATTCCCTTATATTTTCTATTTGCCTCTGATTCAAAGATTGCAATGCAAGTTGCCAATAGAGAAATATGATAGACAACATCAGTAATCTCATAATTGTTTGGCTGAATATCATAGATGCGATGCTTAATGCCCAGAATGCAAGAGTTTCTGTAAAGAAACAGTAAATCATTCTGGCAATCATAGGTCTAATGCTCATAGAAATAAAGAAAATTGCATATTTTTGTCAAACAAAAACTATGAGAGAATTCAAATTAAAACTCAAGATGGAGTGAGAGAATTTAGAGCAGGAGAATCCTGTGAGCCAGATACTTGTTATTCATCATGTTCAAGAAGAGGCAGAGCTCATTATCATCTCAAGAAATGCTTAGGAGAAAATTAGTGCATGGCATTAAGTAATCCAAATGCTCAACATTCGAGTGAAACATATTATCCCTTTGAAAATGAAGTATACGATAAGTGGCTCTGCAAGTAATATTGGGAGTAGATGGGTTGGGATGCTCCTATTGAGGGAAATTTAAAGGAAGAGTTCCAGCTTTGTAGGTTCTTTTGCTCTCATAAGTCTCATAAAGGTACACCTGAATATTGTATAAAAAAGGCTTGGCATTAGGAAGATCATAAGTTTAATTGTGGTCCTCACCAAAAAGAAATCACTAATATGGTTGATATAGTATTCTGCTAAGACACCACAGGGTCTATGAAGAGCTACCTTGAATAATCAAAGTCTACTGTGAAAAAAATCATAGAAGAATTTAAGCAAAAAGTATCATCAATTGGATATCAAAAGCTAAGATTTGGTTTTGTTGCATACAGAGATCACCTTCCTCATGATACAACATATGTTACAAAAATTCATCCCTTAGATGAAGAATCAAAGATCATTGACTTTATTGGCACACTTACAGCAGAAGGTGGTGGTGGTGATGGCCCTGAAGCGGTAATGGATGGTTTGTATGATTCTATTCATAGCGTTAATTGGAGATAAGATTCTCTTAGATTCATTTTTCATATTGGAGATGCGCCTCCTCATGGAAGAGAATATCATACAGCAATGAGAAATTTTCTTAAAATCATAACTTTAGGTTTAAGATCCTTGGATAATTATCCAGATGGATGCCCATGCTTGATTAGAATTGATGATATTGCACATTATATGTTGGAGAAATAAATAAAATATAAATTCTTAAAACTTAGTTCAGACACTAATATCATGGTTCAAATATTTAAATCAAAAATTAATGGAATGGAAGTTATTGAGGTGGATGAGCCACTCTAACTTGATTTGAAGGTTTCAGGAGCTATAATTAGGGAAATTATTAACAATGATTAAGACATTATATTTGAGAATGAAGAAGATCTATGATGATGTCTAATTGAATTTCAATTCATTTATAAGATTGATTTATTTTATTAAATTAAAAAAAAGAAGCTTAAACCTTAATCTAATTGTTCATTAAGGGGTTTTGGGGTTTTGGGG